TAAAAGATCCCAGATGTTACAGTTTAAAAAGAGCAGGAAAAATGGGGAAAATACAGAAAAAAATTCTTGGGAGTAGACTTTTGCATACATTTATACTTTTTTTTTTAGAGTATGGACACAACAAATTGATAGTTCAAGATTGTACTTATTTTTTTGAAAAGCAGAGTTATAGAGAGAAAGGGATAAGACAGAGATCTTCCACCCACTCATTCATTCCCCAAATGGCCAGGATAGTTGGGGCTGGGCCAGATGGAAGCCAGGAGCCTGAAACTCCATCCAGGTCTCACTTGTGGATGGCAGGCATCTAAGGACTTGGGCCATCTTCTGATGCTTTTCCAGGCACATTAACAGGGAGTTGGAGCTGAAGTGGGACTCCAAGCAGTACTCACCTAGGATGCCTGTGTCATGAATGGTGGCTTAACTTGCTGTGCTAGGACTCTGGCTCCTGAATTTATACTTTGTTTCATTGTGCTGTAGTGGAAGAATATGTATATCAATGGTGTTTTATTGTCTGATACATGAAAGAAAATAAGTGCTAGCCAATTATATTCTTTAAAATGATTGAAGGATTACAAACCAATACAGAATCAAAAGCTTTTGATATTATTTTCTAAATATGCATGATCTAGATAAGTGTCTCTCAAATATAAGTAGATCACAGTGTTACCCAGAGAATTAGTTGAAAGGCATTTCCCTGGGACCTTCCCATGCAGATTCTTAGTACTTTAAGAATCTGTTTTTTTGCCGGCGCCGTGGCTCAATAGGCTAATCCTCCACCTAGTGGCGCTGGCACACCAGGTTCTAGTTGGTTGGGGCGCCGGATTCTGTCCCAGTTGCCCCTCTTCCAGGCCAGCTCTCTGCTGTGGCCCGGGAAGGCAGTGGAGGATGGCCCAAGTGCTAGGGCCCTGCACCCCATGGGAGACCAGGAGAAGCACCTGGCTCCTGCCTTTGGATCAGCATGGTGCGCCAGCCATGGTGCACCGGCTGCAGCGCGCCAGCCGCGGCGGCCATTGGAGGGTGAACCAACAGCAAAAGGAAGACCTTTCTCGCTATCTCTCTCTCTCACTGTCCACTCTGCCTGTCAAAAAAAAATATATATATATGTTTTTAATACCTGCTTCCACTGATCTGTCCACATTTTGCCAGAACTAAGTGCTAAGAGGTTATATGGGAATATCTATAATGGAATAATATTACTTTGAATTACAGACATGAGTGTGGAGAGTTGAGGAGAGAGAGAGAGAGAGAGGGAAAGAGAAACCTTAACATAAAAATATGGTGAGGGTGTGGTGCTGTGGTGCAGTGGGTTAAGTCACTGCCTGCAGTGCCTGCATTCCATATGGGTGCTGGTTTGAGTCCTGACAATTCCACTTGTGTTATGGCACCCTGCTAATGCACCTGGGAAAGTAGCAGAAGATGGCTCAAGTCCCTGGGCCCCTGCCATACACATGGTAGCTCCTGGCTTCTGCCTGGCTCACCCCATTTGCTCTAGACATTTGAGGAATGAACCAGTGGATGGAAGACCTCTCTCTCTGTCTCAGATTTGTATATAACATCCACAACCTTTTTTTTTTTTTTTAAAGATGTATTTATTTGAAAGGCAGAGTTACAGAGGTCAGGAGGAGAGAGAGAGAGAGAGATCTTCCATCTGTTGGTTCACTCCCCAAATGGCCACAACGGTCAGAGCTGGGCTGGTCCCAGATCAGGAGCTAGGAGCTTCTTTCTGGTCTCCCATGTGGGTGCAGGAACCTATAGATGTGGACCATCTTCTGCTTTCCAAAGTCATTAACAGGGAGCTGGATCAGAAGTAGAGCAGCCAGGACTTGAACTGGCACCCATGCAGGATGCCAGCACTGTAGTTGGCAGCTTTACCCACTAAGCCACAGCACTGGCCACCACAAGCATCCTTTATATCATCTCTTAGAGGACATCCAATAGTATTTCAAAGAAAATGCTGTGTAAATAGTTGTTATACCACATTGTTTAGAGAACAGTGTCTAGAAAAAAAGCTCTGTTCGGTACAGATGCAACTTTTTTTCTCAATATTTTCTGAGTTTGGTTGAATCCATAGGTGAAGAATTTATGGCTTGGAAAGCTGAATGTATTTAAAATATCAGTCACTTAAGACTTCACCCCTGCATCTTAAAGTCTACATTACTAGGAAGCTAGAGTTAGGTGGTAAAGGTAGGCACTCTGATGTCGGTGGGGGTGTCCCGCCCATTAGGCCAAACACCTGCTCGGGTAAGAGTATCTTACCGCCTTCTTTAATATTATACCCAAACTCCACGAGTTGTAGTTTTGTAAAGGTTACTTGCATTGTGGAATCAAAAATGAATTTTATTATTTTTAACATTTGATGTATTAAAATCCATTGCACTTTTAATTGTATATTGTACCCATTTCACAATTTTGTTCAGTCATACATTGGTCATTTGGAAACTTGGTAAGGAACTTGTACAGATCGTCTACTATCACACCCATCATCTTCAGTTTGATCTCGTCAGGGGAGGCTTGGTTCATTGGGCAGCTGTCAGGTTCACAGAATGCTTGAAAGCTCAGATATTTCATTGGCAGCAAATAGTGTCAGTGGTTTTCTTGAAGAAGCACTCTCCCTTTCTTTGTGTTGGAGAAAATGACTGCCAAATATACAAGGCAGAATAACCCGTTTGTGAATTGTTCTTTCAAGTAAAAATGGTTGTCCCTGGGGAAAAAAAAAAAGCCAAAACTGTCCAGCTCAGCCTGCTGCTCAGTCACACCAATGTTTTCTTCTAGACAGCCTTGTACTTTGGCACAGCACAGTGCTTCCTGTGGACTGCCCGTTTCTAGCAAGTATCTAGAAGCCCCGGGCTCCAGACTTGAAAGTGGTAATTCTGACTCCCTGCTTCGTTCCTTAAGCACACATTGCAAAGGAAGCTGGCTTTTTGGCTTTTAAGCTGCTAATGTGTGGCCGTGGCGACTGCTTTCATTTGCTGCCATTGCTCTGAGTATGCTGAGGCGCCAGCAGTTTCCCCACACTTGCTTTTGCACCAGAAGTGCTAATGTCAGCACAGTGAAAAGACAAATCGTGTCTTCGTGTCAAGCTAAAAATAGTTGGGACCTCTGAGAAGGTCTTGGGGACTCCCAGGAATCCCGAAGCCACCTTTTGAGAACCCCTGCTTGAAGTGCATGGGGCCACCCTCACAGCATCGTCCCTGCAGTGTCAGAAGTCAGCGTTTCTGTAGTCCGTGACTTCGTAGTCACACGGGGTGGACTGTCCTCTTGTGAGATGGGCAGCGTCATGGGGCAGTGCTCTGGCCAGGCCTTCTTGTTAGCATTCTTCTACGGAGATTCCAGCTCCTGCTGCCTCCCCGCACCTCCCGTTCATCTGCAGGCTCGGCGTAAAGGCTTCCCCTGGTCCTCCGACTGGGATGCTGTTCCGTTTGTACTTCCCACAGGGCTTACATTGTTGGTTTGCACCCTCCGGGTTTTTTTTTTTTTTTTTCTTTTTTCTTTCTTTTTTTGTCGATCCCTTTAATTACTTAAAGACCACAAGGAGTTACTGTTTCCTTTGCAATCCTCGTGATTAAGAAAAAGGCGTGGAGGGCGTTTTGTAACTGGTAGCCTCACTGTAGTGAAGTCTAAACTAAAAGCCGAGTAAAAGAAATAACGGGTTGGTTGCCTATTTCCTGATGGCAAGCCTTGGAAGGATCCGAAGTAGCGAACGCCGTTTACTGTTTACTTATGCGGTTCTGTTGCCCTCGGCTCCTCGGCGCACCCGGTGGTCAACAAATATTCACATCGGGGCTGGAGTGCCAAGCGACCGGGTACGGTTTGTTCCGGCGGTGTGTGTGTGTACACTGTTAAAACCTGGCCAGGGCGTGTTAGCCAGAAGCCCGCAGGCGGGGCGCGGCCAGGGACGCGCGGGGCTGCGTCGGCGCTCGGGTTCGGCGCCCCGGCCCGGCCCGGCCCTCTCCTCGCCCCCGGCTCCGGCCGGCCGAGTGCCCTGCCCTTTTAAGGAGGCGGGCCGTACCATCAGAACTTTCTTGACAGGGGGTATCGCGGCGACCTCGGACAACTTGGAGGGAGCCAAGAGGCGATTTCCTGGTTCTCTCGTCGTCCGCCAGAGTCGGGCTCGGGCTCCACCGGCATCGTGTGTCCGCTGGGGTTGAGCTTGGGGCCCTTGTGTCTTCCCTTTTCGGAAATCGCCCTGAGGGTCCCTACCCGCTGTAAATCCTGACTCGGCGTTCCCCGGGCTCCTCTGGAGTGGAGTCCGCTTGCAGAGGCCCCAGTGCCCGGATGTCCATCAGGATTAGCGGGAGCCAATACGGTCGGAGCCCGAGGCCGAGCGGAGGACGCCCGGGGCTCGGGAGCAGGTAGTCCCGGAGCCTCGGGGAGTCGCGCCCGGGGCCCCGCCCGGCCCCGCCCGGCCCCTCCCGGCCCCTCCCTGCCCCTCCCTGCCCCGGCCAATGGTGAGCGCGGCGCTGGCTGCAGGGCCCGCGGGGTGAAGGCGCTCATGGGCAGAGGACCGTGGGCTCTGCCAAGTGAATGATGGCAGCGCAGTCCAGGTAAGGCAGGCGCCGAGGCAAACTTGGTGAGCGGGTTGGTGGCGGGGGGCGGGGGGGCATCGAAGGTTGCGGGGGAGGGCAGGAAGCAGCTTTGTCGCTGCGCTGTCTGCGTTCCCGGTGCGGTGGCTCGTGACCGAGTGTCAGACGGCAAACCGGAGCACGCACCACACAGGGTCTGCACCGAGGAGGCGGGCTTGGGCTCGGGCTCGAGTCGGGACCAAAGTGAGGCGTCCTCTCTCTTCCAAAAGTTAACCGTTCTCTTCCGGGAGGTGAAGTTGATTTCGCTCGTCCGCCTTTGCTTGCATTTCCACGGGGGGCTCTCTAGCCGCTGTCTCGAGCGGAATTTTCGCGAAATGCAATTCTTGTGAAGACGTCGTTCTTGTCTGAAGGTGGGCGAGCATGAGCCTGGTGAGTGAGGGAGGAAGGCTGGGAGAGATTCGCTGCTGCGGTGCACGCTTGCACGGAAAGCGGCGCGTGCTGAGTCGGCGAAGGCCGGGAATGCGCGGAGTTGGCGAGGCCGAGCGAACCAGCTGCAGCTGCGGCAGCCTCAGCCCCAGGGTCCGGGCCGTAGCGGGTGTGCTTGGTGCCAGCCGTTCAGGGCGGTTTCGCCGGAGTGAGCACTGCGGGTGGTGCTCGGCGAAGCTCAGGAGGCAGAGACTCCTGGTTTTGAAGCTGTCAGTTTTGCCGGATAGCTGTTTGGCCTCACGGATGTAAAAGAATAGGATTCTAGGAGCTGCTGATCTGATGGAGGAAAGTGATTAGGGATGTCCTAGAAGAGTAATGGATCAAAAGACGCAGGTCAGGGAAGGCTAGCTTGGGTTGGGTGAGACCGTGAAACATTTCCTTAAGAAATAGAACTTTCTAGGAAGAGCTACTCGACGGAGACGCTCCTGTGTGCTACCTGGCTTTTCTATGTAATCCTCTCAACCCGGTGGATTATGCTGTGCGTCCTTCTCACTGCTCTAAGTAAGGGGCTCTTAACCCCGGGATAAGTAGTAGGAAAACCTGGGTGAGGAACTAGCAAACAGCAGCTTTATTTTTGCCGACTTCTGACATTTAGTGTTTGTTTTAGTAGGAATGGAGACAAAAACTCTAGGACCAGTACGTGTGATGTTGTCAGAAACAGAAACCACAGGTTTTCATCATCTCTTACAGTTCTTGCAGATCTTTTAAACTACCTCTAACACCCAGCACCTCTGAAATAAAGGCGCTGCTGTATCTTATTTTAATTTGGTGATAAAGAAAAAATAGCACTGTAGCATCAGATTGTCTTTTAAATATTATAAATATCTAATTTTTCCTTTGTATTTTCTGTGTTTTACATAAAGTATTTTAAAATATTCTGACAACATTGAAAACATTGTGTATTTAAAACATTATTCATCGACTCGCCATAAGGTTCTATGGCCAGAACCTTAGATTAAGATAACTTGAACTAAAAAATTATGAGATTGCCCTCTGATGGGTCAGTAATGCAGATCCAGTGCTGAGATTTGAACCCAGGTGTGAACGATTCCAATGCCCGAGCCCTCATTCTAATGATAAAAATATAGTGAGATAAAAGCTACTTAATTGGACACTGCTGTATGCCAGGCACAATGTTAAGCAGGTTTCATTGGATTACCTCTTTAACTCTTGTCTGTCACCCACACAAGCATTTTTTTATTTGCATTTGGTAGGGAAGGAAACTGAGGCCCAGGCAGGCTGCTTCTTGCCAGAGGTCACACAGGTGGAGCAAGGCTCTTCAGAGCTGTTTTGCAGCGCTTTAATGCTGAGCTGAGGAGTTCAAAGGGAGCTGCACAGCCATTTCTGCTGCAATTGCTTTGCACCAAGATGAACTAATCTGAGTTATCACTGTGGTGGTCCAACTTGCCAGCAGTTAAAATAGCAATGTACACTGCACAACTTTTGTAGATTAAAGGGGGGGGGGGGCGCGGAGCTGCACATATTCCTGATCCTCTATTCCTGCACCAGGCCTTCGGACTTGGCCTGAACCAGGAACAAAGCCAACAGGCTAGCGTTGTGTCTGCTTCTTAGCCGGCATGTTGGGAGTATTTCTCATGTTGTAAATGTCCACTTCGTCCAGTTATGCAAGGATGTGTTCATGCTCCTTCAGAACTTAAGCTTTGTGTGGAGAAGATTCAAGATACTTTTGGATTTCAGGAACACCCCAAAACTGGGCCAATTTGCTCTGAGTAATGCTTAGAGAAACGGGAACTTACTTGTGTTTTAACATCTTGGCCATTTGCCACACACATTATTTAGACAATTTAGATTGTTGGACTCATTGGGCTTACAAATTCATAGCTCAGTGCTTAATCATAGCAGATTCTTATGCATTGTTAATTTGATTTCTTTTTAGTAGCAGAGGTAGAAGGGAACTTACATGAAATTGAATTGTGCGGAGTGATAGAAATTCCAAGACCAACCAACAGCACTTTTCTCTCATTACTTGGCATTGCTATGATGTAATGTCATTCTTGATTTTGTATTGATGAATGATATGAGTAATTTTTCATGTGAGTAGGCAAGTGTAGTCTGTGCTGTTCTCTATAATCAGCTCCATAAGGCTAGATAATTGTTTCTCCCTCTTCTTAAGTATCTTCCACATAAACTAGAAGCAGTATGAATGACAGAGGGATTAGCTAAGTATTTCTTGTGAGATTTTGTAAGTTGGGGTTATTTGTTCTTGTACCTGATTTCAGAGTTTCAAAGTAGGAAATTAGTTTTGTTTTTGTAGTTGATTTCACAATGTGAATTGTCTGACTTTTAAAGGGATCAATATTTTGAAAACAGTATTGGTTTTTTGGGTTCTCAGAGTTGAGAAGATACAGTCACTTGGAAAGGCAACATCAGTTGCAGCAGCAGTGTGCCATGCCTAGGATCTGAGATGAGTGTGTGCTTTTTTTGGAACCCCAAGCATAGTCCATACATTGAACCTACTTCCTTGTGGGAATTGTAACAAATTTGCTTCCTTTAATGTGAAATGGTTACTGATGATGACCCAGCAGTTCTAGTCCCTGCTGCTTTGTCTCCCCTTCACTGTAACTCTGCATTATAAACAAATGTTAAAAATTTTGTCACTTTGATTATGATCTATTCCTTTAAAAAAAATGGGCATTCCTTCTTTTTGAGAAGTAAGCTGTTTTTTCCTATTCAGATGAGCTTGCTTTATACTGAAGAGTGATGCTGATGGATAGAATAAAAAGAAAGGAGGGCTTTGTTTGGGTCCCGTCTGCCAGCCCCCTCACTGAAGGAGTCCCCAGTGCCCTGTAAAGGAATACAGGCATACCTTCAGCTACCATCAGGGATTAACCAGTTTTTAAAAGCATCTTGTGCTACCTGAGAAGACTTGGCCCAGCCTGGCCCTGGTGGGGGCGGGGTATTGGTGGGACTGAGGGAGGTTGAACTTGCTTTTTGGTAGAGTTACAACTGGTGGCAGAGAACCCTTCTCCCCCACCCCACCCCAGGCCACCCCCCAAAAAAGCAATTATAGACAAACTGCAAAAGGACGTTAGCCTTGGTTCATTCTCCTACAGTTTTTACTTTGCAGTTTGATTAACGTTAATGTTAATGAGGTTTTAAAAAAATCAATAAAGAAGCAAAGTCAGATTGTTCCCAAGATTAATATGGAACTGGATTTTGGTGGATCTCTGACTGAGGAGGGGAAGTTTTCCATTATAAAAAAGAGTGCTCTTAAACTGATACAGAACCAACTTTGCACAACTCTGTGCACCCACCTCTGATTTATGAGCTACTGATGACCTTGGAAGAAAAATTCTTGAATTCTAAGCAGTGCAGCTTAAATATGAGCCAATATGAAAGAAGAAAGCTGCAGTATTTTGTAATTTGCAGCTCAAGGAAGAGATTGGGAGAGGGAAATAATTTAATGCAGTATTTTGACCACTGAATGTCCTCATTTTTTCCCTTATGACACCCATGTAAACAGTGTCCTTGACAGAAGAGAAACACAAACAGGTCTCCTAAGTGATTTCTTTCTTGTTCTTCCTGAGAACCCAGCTGAGCCTCCTGACTCACAGTCTGGAGCGTCTTCCATGATAAAGAATGAAGGAGCAATGAGTCATTTTTCTTTTTGAGTCATCTGGTTTATGGTTTGGCAAAATTCACACAAGTTATCTCCAGAGATTCTATACCATGCCAGGAGAACATAGTCAATAGCTAGACTTATATTCTTTTGAAAAGATAATTTATATATTCAAGAATGAAAAATACCATCTTGATCCTGGATGATAGAGAAA